CTAATAATTAACGCACGTGTAGTCGAACCATGGAAGCGAGGGAGTTATCACCGCGTAGCATCGCTGTTAATAACCGAGCTGCCTTTAAAATCGTAATTAATAATAATTATAAAATATAAAAATGTGTAATTCAGTATGATTGATTGTCTCGGAGATAAGAATGCGTTTGTACCTATAGGCCGTTTCCGCTTGAGGGGGAACAGGAGCCTGCAAAACCGTAAAACGCGTGATTCTTTTCGTGTTTGCGCAAACTCTGGAAAATGATTACTCTTAGCAATACATATTACGGAAACGGAAAATTAATTTCAACGCTCGGTCTAATGATTCGGGACACGATGAGAGGTTTGGATGCTCGTGTTTCGAAATTGAATAAGAAGAATAGAAAAGAAGTTTCGCTGATTGCGGGACCGTCGATCGCGGATGTTCTACTGTTGTTGAATCGGCTAAATTGATGTTGGTCCCGGTCGCGTTCGCGCCGAAAAATTGACACCGTAAGCTCGAACCTCCGCACTTTAATGCCACGACATTAAGGCGGCTTCAATGGGGGACGACGATCGTCGGAGAGCACTTAGCGGAACAAAACGAGAGGCTGGCACATAATAAGTCGCGGCGCTCGTGCGGGTGTCTCGTGAAAGGACGAAGACAAAGGAGCGCGGTCTTGGGGCATAATTAAAACGCGTCGAGTGTCCCGTTGAAGCGAGACACCCGGGTAAAAAAGGAACTGGACGAAGGAAGGAAAGAACGAGACACGGGGTTCGATTACCGGCGTGTCCGACGCGTTTTCGAGCGGGTCCGCGTGAGAGTGGCCTCTCCTCGAATCGCGCTACACCCCGTACCTTTTTCTCCCTCCCTCCCCCCCTCCCTCCATCCCCCCGGAATCGAATAAATCGCATTCATGCCTTCGTCAAGGAAATTTGACGTCTCGTTATATTTCCATTCACGCCGGCGAGTGTCGAGTTCGCGGATTCAGGAATAAATCGAGCACGAATAATAGGCGATCTATTAGAGGTCGATTTATGGGATCCGTGTAGCCACGTTACTGGGGGGGAGTAAAAAGATACGATTATTTATGTGCGTCTCGGACATTTTCTAACAGAATGGTCCAAAAATTCTTGATACGTAGAGAAACACATGAAGATCTGTACATAAAGTATATTTAAAAAGTAACACATACAGATAAATAAACTTCGAACTAAATCGACAGATAGGAGCCTAAAAAAAAAATTTCAATTCGTTCTAAAAAAATTATTTTTGGCTGCAGGGGTCAATTACAATCATTTTTGGTCAATAGACATACCCCCGAATTCCTACGCTTTTTCGAGAAAAAAATTCCAGTAGATGTGAAATTTTTCGGTAAAAAAAAAATTCTAAATCGTTCTAAAAAAATTATATTCAATTTGGGGGGTCAATTACAACCACTTTTGGTGAATAGACATACCCTCGAATTCCTACGCATTTTTGAGAAAAAAATTCGAGTAGGTGTGAAATTTTTCGGTAAAAAAAAAATTCTAAATCGTTCTAAAAAAATTATATTCAATTTGGGGGGTCAATTACAACCACTTTTGGTGAATAGACATACCCCCGAATTCCTACGCAGTTACGAGAAAAAAATTCGAATGGGTGTTGAAATTTTCGGCGAAAAAAAATTTCAAATCGTTCTAAAAAAATTATTTTCAGCTGCGAGGGACAATTACAATCATTTTCGGTGAATACACATACCCCCGAAATCCCACGGACTTTCGAGAAAAAAATTCTTTACTGATAATCGGAATTTTATTTTCGTAATTACGTAGATCGAGATCTAGAGGGCCAGTTGGAAATGTAACGCAAGATAAGAAAATGGTTTCCCACTGTGTCGAAGTAATTGATATTTCGCAGAGCAATAAAAATAAATGTCCGTTAAGGCGTGAACGAGATCGGTAGCTCGCGGAGGGCGTCGGAGGCGGCGCGAGGGTGAATCGGCTCCTCGCGAACGCGTTCTTTTTTTGGGGGGAGAGCGTGAGGAGGCAGCAGACGAGATCCTCGTCGGAGCGGCGAACCTGTTCGAAATCACTCGAGGTGTTACCGTGGTAACTGTGCGGGCTCGAAACTCGATTAGCAAAGAAAATACGGGAGTATCTCGGGCGCCCCGGCGTCGAATCGATCTGGCACGAAGAGGCTTTTAAGGCGACCACAACATCTCATTGTCTTTAGCAGACAGTCGAACGATTCTCCTTTTCCCTTTATACCCCGATCGTCCGCGGAAAGAGCGTTTTCCACTCCAGTGGAGGAAACGTATTCTTTCGAACCGGGGTCTCTCGTTGTTTTCTCTCGTTACACGATTACGCGGCCGGACGCGAGAAAAATTATTTTCCCGCGACCACGTGCAATTTACGGTTCTTCGTCCGCGGAAGTTCCGCGTCCGAAACGAATTATAACGCAATTCCTCTTAGCAACGAGCTAATTTACACCTGAGCGTTTGATACCCCCGTCGTGTAACAAAATTGCGATGCAAACGATGGCGTATCAAGTTGGCTCTGTAGAAGGTGCATCGAATCTAAATAGCACGCGTATTAAACGCCTTCGCGACGCTGGAAACACTCTTCTACTGCAAAAACTGAATAAAATTGAGTTTCCTTTGTCTTCTCGTCGCTGATAATTGAGACGTGTATGTCCAGGATAATTGTATGGATGAAAGGTGAACAATTTCTGATTGGTAGAGAGCATCAATTTGATTCCACCCATCAGAGCTCCCCTTCCTTTATGCATTTATAGCAGTGGGGATTCTTCTTAGATAAAAATTATACTAAATACCATATTTTATACTCGCGTATCCTCCTGGTTGCAAGCTTAACCGTAAATAAATTCGAATTAAACGCTCGTTGGGCACAAGTTTAAGCCGCGTATCAAAAACGTGCAGGGCGCAAAGCGGAGTTGTCGGTAAAAATTCTTCGTGGGTGGCGCGGTGAATAACATTTTCCTGTCGACAGGTCGTACATCCGTTTCGATGGCGACTGTTCGCCGTTTATCTCGACCGCAGGATGGGTCGCGTGAGAAGTTGGCGGTATTTCCGTATCTATCCGTAATCTCCCGAGTAATGAGGTGGATCGTTCTTTCATACGAACCGTCGCCCGGGAATCGTCGTTACTCTCCCGTGAATCCTTGCTCACCTGGGAAGGACGGGCCCGCTCATTAATTATAGCCGCTCCGCGGTGATGACTGGAAACAAAGTGTTTTCAGTGCCGCGTACATCCACCTATTCCATCTAACCGAGATGGAATTAAAATTCTCATCGCGATCAACGCCCACGCGGACTGTTGCCTGCGACGCGTACGACCGACTTGCTACCAATGGCGATTGACCTTTTTCGTTGACCCCGCGACGGGAGATGCATGCTCGAGTAATCGATCCGGAAAAGCACGCAGCAAGATGGCTTTCAACAATCACGAGACGTACGAATGTTCGGGAACACGATATTTGCATAATGGGAATCATTACTCCATCCGTGCATCAAAATTTAACCATTTCAAAGTGGACGACGAGTCGCGTACTTTGTGTACCTCGTTGATACTATTGAACCGAGGACTTTTTATTAGGGGTTGAAACGGTTAAAGTGGAACCTGTATAATGCAAGTTGTAAATGAAAGATCTTGTGTATCGGAGTAATCTATGAAAACTATAACTAATATTCTAGAATGTTTGTTCCATCGGTAGTCAGGATGACACTATGAATAAAACAAGTTGCACTTGCAGATACTAGTTTAAACAGAGTGCATTACAAACGACAGGGAAAATTGTTTTCTGGGAATGGGATACACGTGTAATAAATTCTGTTCACGTTGTATAATGAATGGCAAAGAAGAGAATATCACCCCTATTATGTCACATTTATTCAGCAATTAGTTGACTGACAAGTTAGCAATTTTCATAGCGTAGGAATTGCAGCTCGTAATACATGGACAATCTACTTCCGATGGGGGGGGAAGAAAGGCTTCGTGCAAAAGTAAATTCATATAATTAGACGATAAGAACGAGGTAGTAATAAAGGTTACGTGCTCTATGTTCTAATTGCAAAATGAAGGGAGGAAGACGGTAATCTGATGATCGCCGGCGATACCTGCAGACGGAAGGTCTTCGTATTGATGATTGAAAAGATACTACCTACCAGATAACAATAGAAATGCAATAAAAAATATAGCTCATTAAAATAACACACATTTATGAGGTAGACGGAGCAATATTTTGATCGATCGAACGTAGATCGCGAATTGCGATGCACCTAATTAATCTTGTACGACATTTACGACCGGGGCTCTAATTACTCAACGACGAAGTTAAGACTTTAACTTCGATAAACGTTACGGAGAATTGCGTTAAAAATTTTAACGTTTCGCTCGATATCGTTAATGAACTTTTCCGCGAGGCTACGTTTAAAATAATATTTGTGCAGATTGCATCGTCGCGCGGCGCGTTCGATTCACGCATCATGTATATTTCATGGCAATTCAAGTTGTACCGTTAACTCAGCCGACCGCAGAAACTGTTATAAATTAATTTTTATCCACGATTTTCCATATTTTTCTGTTTATAATAATAGCTCCTTTTCGTTCGCTCTTCCAGAAACTGCGCTTTATTAACCACTACCGCGTGAATTTTTGTAAAACAAGCAGACGTTAGGTTTAGCCAGGTTCGAATAGGAATATTAAATCATTCATGAGGAAATAATTTCGTTCCATAATATAAGAAAATAAAATAAAATAAATTTGTATTTATAGTGTTGTTTACTTCCAGAAATAATTTTGAATGAGGAAATAATTTCGTTTCATAATATAGGAAAATAAAATAAAATAAATTTGTATGTATAGTGTTGTTTACTTCCAGAAATAATTTTTAGTTTGAGAAGTAAAATTCCTTGTGATATAGGGATGATATTATTCGAGCTAGCTCCAAAAGGGGTTGACGGAAGGGTAACGCGAAAGTTCGCGGGAGAACTAACGCGTTGGCGTTGCGTTATGTTACAGAATGCAGCAGCAATCTGGCACAGGAAACGGAAATACACGACGCGCTTTGAGCCCCGGGCCAGGAGGCAGCGACTCGGAGGACTCCGACATTTCTCTCGGCGGAACGTCGCCGCCGTCGCCGAGTTCCTCGCCTCCGCCGACTCATCAACCATCTCCTGTTCCTCTCGGGCCCCTTGGACCTCTGCCTCCACCATCCTTAAATTTCCGCTTCGATCCATCGCAATCGCAGTTTCGATTCAACCACGCGACGGCCTTCAAATTCCCGCCGACGGGCTTCCGGTTTGGACCGCACAGCCCGCAACACAATCATCCGAACATCTCGGGCGGCGGAATCTTCAGGCTGACGGAAACCAGCCCGTTCCAGGCTGTGGGGCCCAGGGGCGATCTTGGATCCAGGTAAGTCGCTCAAAAATCAATAATACATCACGCATTTAGCAGCCATATGCGACGAAGAGCCTAACCACGTAAACGTTGACAGAGAGTGGAACGTGCTTGCTCGTAAATAAAAATTTATCTTCCTCTTAAGGATTCCTCTTGAGCTGTTACTAAACATTTCCCCATTTTAATGAGATAGATCGTTGTAGCCACTGTGTTTAGATTAGTCAACCCTCAAGTGGATTATTGGGGCCGTTGTAGCCCTCAGAAGTTTAAACTACTAATTTTTTAATACATGCCAACGTAATTATGTAATCCTCCAAATGCATTAAAGGAAAGTTGGTTTATTAATTTGGTAAAAGTCAACATTAAGTAAAATAATTCAGTTCAGATTGAGAGTCCACTTAAGGGTCAATGACTCAATCTTTAGTTAAGTTCTGTTTATCACGAGGCGGTGAATTTCGTAATAAAATACAGTTTTAAATTGATCTTCACCCCTGATCGAATTTGTTTGTTTACGATCCCCCTGTTCACCGATGCACCGTTCAATTTCCAGATTGCCGGATCATTTGGGGCTGCCGCCGCCCAGGTTGCATCCTCACGAGGGTTTGCTCCATCACCCGCACGTTCCGCACCAGCTACCGGAAGGGATGTCGAGGTTATCGGACGGCTCGCGACTCTCCGACGGCGGGATCTCGCGTCTGTCGGACAGCCTATCGGAAGCGCACAGCCCGCCGCTAATGGCGACGAATCTGTCGGTGACGGGTCCGCTTAGGGTCGCGGTCCCGAGCCCTCACACGCCATCCTCGCGAGGCAGTCCGCCGTCGAATCAGCAGACGCCTCAGGGTCAGTCTCAAGGCCAGGGATTGATAAGGGTCGCGACGCCCCCGCCGAACCCGAAACCGCCGCAGATCCACAGACCGTTCTCACCAGCGTGATACGACAAGGACGATGTCGAGGAAGCAATCATTTCCGGGGAAACGGAGAACGATCGGTGCTCGATGTCGGGCAAATCAACGACCAGCGGCAAGCATCGGTTCCTCGAGAAGCGTTTCGAAGTCTTGTGAGGTTTCTCGCGAAAAGGGAGGGTTTCGAACGATCCCCACGTACGACGGCCACGAAACAATAATTACTCGTGATGGAAGAACGAATATATCGTGGTGGTTTTTTCGTCGAACTGTGAAACATTACGGGACAAGTGTGGCCAGATTTCCTAGTTGACGACTAGTTAGACGGAGTCGCGGAAGCGGACGTGTGCAATTTCTCAAGATCAAAATGCGAGTGTAAATAGTTACGGTATTCGAGAGTAACGGGGGTCGTGGAGGTATCGCCGAGCGAGAAACTCGCCACGAACTGATCGCGCTTCAGCAAAACTCAGTGTAGTGAAATGTTTTTTTTTTTAATAGTTTGTACATATAGCGACCGCTTTCGGGAGAGAAACGTTCCGTCGGTGTAATCGTTGCTTCGAGACGCGCGAGATGGACGAGAAGTAGAAAAAACACGAACGGCCTAGACGTAGACCGAAGCTCGATCTTCGGGGAATTTTTGACGCTGTTCGGTCGATGCGCGGGGATCGCGAACGAATTGACGTTGAAATTTGTAGAGAGATCCCTCGAGAATCGTTCCGTGACGGTTTTGCGAACGCGATCGGAGCGGAAACGCAGGGACTCGAGCGCCCGGTCGAACTAAATAATTTAAGAAAGTTCGCGAGACAACCTTCCCTACACTTTAGCCTAAGTAGACACTAGCGATTTGTAAATTTCATTAATCGACTCGGTCTTCGATGGAACCGTTTTACTCCGAGAGTAAAGAGCCGCGTTTGGCTTGATGCTGATCGTTGACGAAAGCCGATCGATCTCGGATTCTCTCTCGCGACAGAGAAACACCGTGCGCCCTGCGAGTAAACCTTCTCTTTGTAGATACACACACACACACGCAGAAAAAAAAGAAAACACGTTAGCGAATTTCTTGTATAATCGGCCCCTATAAATATGAACATACATACGATGATCTACGTATACATAGGTACCTTACGTAAAGACTATTAACACGGAAAAATATACATATATAAATATACGAGGAGAAATGAAAATCATTATTATTATTAATATTATTAATATTATTATTAATATTATTATTTGCGCCTGTACATACATTCACGCGAAAATATATTAACAGATTATTATGACATTACAACAAAACCATTGTGTCAGTTTTGAATTTCGCGCCCTCTCATGCGTTCCCGCGGTATTCGTGTTAGAATCGCGCAATTCGCGGCAATTATTCGGCCGGTTTGCCGCGACAATCGCATCCGTTCGCGTCGACGGATCCGTGGAGCCTTTGATTTCCCGTCGACGCGGATAAACGATTAAAATAACTTCGTACGAGAAAGGATCGAGGGCTGCTCGACCCTCTTCCCTAGCCCTCCCATCCCTCCCCCTGGTACGCTTCCTATAATTTAAACGCTGCGAGGCTCTTCCCCACGGTGTGTGCCGCACGAATACGCCGTCGAATACCGCAGAGTCACGGAGCTCCCTGTTAACGAACTCGACGAAGTCGCATTCGAAACACGGATCCTTTTTTCGTCGAAGGTCAAAGCGTACGGGTCTCGAGCGGTCGAGAGGAACAGCCTGGAGAGGATAAGGGGACCCGTAAAGGGGGGGGGGTTAAAAGACGAACAGAGAGAGTGAAAACGGCGGAGGGAGAGCCGAGATCCGCCGGAGGAAGGTTATCGACACGACTGCGGAGAAAGAGAGCAGGAGAATACGTGATAGGGCACCGGTGGGAGAGAGAGTAGTTGCGCGATAACGTGGCGTGGGCGGGTGTCGCTGACAAAATGGACCAATCGGCTGGCTGGGTTGCGTTGTAACCGATCCCGCGGGTTAACCAGGAACCAGGAACATCGACCAAGACTCTCCAAAAAGCCGATATGCCCAGAGCGCACGCCTAACCGTCCTCGTCGTCGACTCCACCCTGCCCCCGACGCCTCCACATGCGACCGCTTCCTCTCTGCCTCGTCCCTCACCCTTCCGCCCTCGCGATCTTTCTCCCTCTTCGACACCCTTTTCCGCGTCGAAATTTCTCGACAGCCGCGTCGGTTTCCCCGTGCGGAAGATGGAGTCGTTATCGCCGCCCGTGAACGGAGACGCACCAGTGTTTCGCCAGCAAGTTGTCGAATCACTTCGATGAAGTTGCCGTAATTGAAACTGGTCATTGAGTCGAAATGCGTTTAGTCGCGGGGTTCGAGGAGGCTAATCGCCGTCTGCGTTCGCATAAAGGTCCATTTATGCCCACGTGACCGGCCCTGGAGGAGTCGAACGACTTCGTCGAGGTCCCACGGTGTTTTATCGTTGTTTCACGCTGATACATGGGATGGCTTTTAGTGCTCTTGGCTGAAGGGTTGCCAGGGATTTCAAGGTTTCGAATACTGTACCGGGTCGGGGCTAAAGTTTTGGTGGGGTTCAGAATAAATTAAAAGATTTTGTTAATTTGTAGAAAATAATTTCATCCTTCCCGTATTATACACCGATTTAGGAATATTTGTAGTTTTCAGTGAAGAGGGTAACTTTCAGTTTCTTGCACAGGGAATAATGAATAAATACGCGGTGCAGATGGAAGTGACGCGAAAACAATGGCACCGATTAAAAAAAAAGATTGTACAAGACACTTGTAACATCATTTATGTTTCCCATTCATGGCACGTATCTACGCGTTCAAGAAGCAGTAGATGTAACGATTTATTCTACAATGAGTCACAATTACGTCGAGTTTGCAACTGGATAGTCGTATGGCGGCGCGGTGCTGCCATTCAACGCAGCTGTATCGTACGATAGGTTGTGTAACAACCCCCCCACGCATTACGATCATCGTTTAAAAATGGTAGACATAAAGTCCCTGACTCGATACTTTGTTACAACGACTACAAACAATCTTTTCGAGGACCTCTGAGAGAACAGGAAATCTCTGCTCCCGAAATAAGTGAAAGGTTCAAAACTGCATAAGGGAAACATACTGCAGTCGTTGAGCGTAGATGATTAATGCAGTAATACAAAGAGCTGTTTCAATTATCCACAGCTCCCTACAATGAAAATTTCCTTTCCACTCCGGATAACACTGGTCGAATCTCGCCTATCACGATCGGTAAATGGAATATAGTAACGTAGTTCGTCATGGTTTTCCAACTTGAATTATTCCACGAGACATTATTGATATATTTTCATAGAAAATCCCTATTAATTATTTTTTATATTTTATAATTTTGGTATTATGGAGTCTGCTCCGAAAATTTCCACCCCAACGTGTTTAAAATTCCGTAACTCGGAATCAAAGCGTTTTCAGCCACATGTTGACATAAGATTTTTCTATCGATACAGCCAGTAGAGTATGTGTATAAAGTTTCAGAAGCCTTCCGTGCATCCTGATCGAAAACGGAGTCCCCCGTCTCGAAAGTACGGCAAGCTGAGCGTTAAACGATGACGAGTCATTAATTCCAGGTTTCTCTTCATTCCTTCGAAGTAAGAAAAAAAAAAAAAGAAGCAGAAACAAGCGTCCTAGCCTTCTTGATAAGCATCGTCTGCGATTCAACGAGCGGAAGGCGGGGAAACCGTTGTGCAACAAACGCGCGCCGTGAACAATGCCTCGTTCCGACGTTGCTACGTATCCGACACGTAGCCGCGGACGAATTTTCGTATCGGGTAGGGGGAATGAAAGGATGAATGTCGCGATTATCGATAGGCATCGGTTCCGTGTACCGTTTTCAAGGTACATCCAATATGGCGTGAAAAGGACCGTGCCTTCTGCTCTCGTTCGTCCCCGTCGTCGCTCCTTGTCGCACACTGGATGCCACGGTCGTCTTGCCGGTCGTGTTTTGACAGTTGCCGCTCTGACACCTCTGGCGCATTCATTAGAAAGTGGTTCTCAATACACAGCCTAGAAGAGGAGCACGAAATCCGTTGTTCCTCGTCGTACGCAAACAGGTTCTGTCGCATTGACCGTCCATATCCGGTGCTCGAGATTTATGTAATAACAGTATTTCGGTCTGTTTAGTTTTAACATACGGTCGAAACAGGGACGAGGGATAAAAATCATAATTTATTAACCCTTCGGACCCAGAAACAGAGGAATTTTAAGAACACGAGAACGTTCAAACCGTTCGTCGATATCCAGTTGTGCAATCTCGATCCTACACCAGTTTAATAAAACAGTAAATGGATCGTGGCGAAAAAAACTATATCCTACATACGCGTGAGTGAAAGCTAGTTTACGAGTCTAATTTTTAATGATCGCGAATAAAATTTGCTCCGCGCGTGGATTAACGGACTATCAACGGGATATTGCCGTAACACGCGTCCGACGCTTGTTTTCATTTGCATAAACATAAAGGTCCCGTGTAAAACACATCGGGGGGGAAGGTTTTATGACGGAATTACCGATAACGCGAAACTATAAGGGAATCGGGCACCGATAAAGCATTGGCAGAAATTTGAATGGAAAAATGAATAATACATCGGGACGCGCAGGTGGAAAGTTAGTCGAACTCCATATCGCCGGGCATCGTAACGCCATCGACGCGTTTTAATCCGTCGGAGAACAGTGCATCGTGTAAATGTTCGCTCGTGCAAAAATCCTCTTTCGCGTTATCGGAATCATCGAATCGCGAGGGGCTTTATCAGCCGCTGATAGACGAAAAACACGATGGTCCGTTAGCGAACCCCGGGCGCTCCGGTTGAGAGTCTCTGATAGACATCCAGCTGTCCGGATTTAGATGTTAGGATAATACGGTGTGGTCGGGGCCTTACAGCAAAATAATGTAGTCCACTCTGAATGGCGGAGACCCCGGAATGAGCGCGAGAGAGAGGGGGAGCAGAGCGGGACGCGTAAACGGGCGTTCAGAGAGAAATGGAACCGACGGGGAGAGGATAGAAGCGAGATGGATCGGTGAAGAGTATCGACAGAGTAACCATTTCTCTAGTGGTTATTTGTAGACAGATTCGACACCGTGACAATGCCGCGG